ATTCCGAAATCTCAAGAACTAAATTGAAGATACAAATTAAGTAAAATTAGCGGGGAAAAAACACGAACCAAAAACGCAGCGATGCTGGGATTGAGGATTGGCGGCCATCAACGTAATCGAAAATCACAATTACAAAATCATCGAGAAATCGAATCCGATTACTCTGAAAATTTGAGAATACCTAACTGAAAATCGGAAAAAGAAAAAACTTATGAGTGATAAAAAAAGTGACCTATACCCCCTGTATTTATATTTAAAAGTCAAGGTTGTTCACGCGCTATTTGTGCGACTCTGGTGTGATTTTTTGTACAATTTTTTGTACGAAAAGACAAAATCGCCCCTCTTAATCTCTATGATTTTTTAATTTTCAATTTAAACAAATCTTATATCTTATATATAAAAGAAAGAAACGCTAGGGCAACCCTAAAAAACCCTAATGTCATATTTATAATTTTTTTTCAATTTTTATCAAATTTTTATCTCCTTAATATTATTTTAAATATTATTTTTGAATTTTATCATATTTGTATCCCCTAAATATTATTTTAAATATTATTTTTGAATTTTATCATATTTGTATCCCCTAAATATTATTTTAAATATTATTTTTGAATTTTATCATATTTGTATCCCCTAAATATTATTTTAAATATTATTTTTTATTTTTATCAGATTTTTGTCTCCTAAATATTATTTTTTATTTTTATCTCCTAAATATTATTATAAATAATATTTTTTTAATTTTATCAAATTTATATCTCCTAAGTCCTAACTATAATTTTAAATATAATTTTCAACTTTTAGCAGATTTTTATCTCCTAAATATTATTTTCGAATTTTATCAAATTTATATCTCCTAAATCATATTTTAAATATTTTTTTCGAGTTTTATCATGTTTTTATTAGTTTTTTATCTCCTAAATATTATTTTCGTTTTTTTATCAGATTATTGTCTCCTAAATATTATTTTTGATTTTTATCAAATTTTTATCTCCTAAATATTATTTTAAACAATAATTTTGATTTTAATCATATTTTATCTCCTAAATATTATTCTAATTATTATTTTCATATTTTATCAACTTTTATCTCATTAACATTATTTGAAATATTATTTTCGATATTTTATCAAATTTTTATCTCCTAACTATTATTTTAAATTTTATTTTTGATTTTTATCTCCTAAATATTATTTTTTGATTTTTTTATCAAATTTTTATCTCCGAAATATTATTTTAAATATTATTATCGATTTTCATCAAATTTCCTAGATATTATTTATAATAATCTGATTTTCGATTTTTACAGAAAAGGGTAAATAAATCTGATTTTCATCCCTAGCGGATTTTGTGACATCGTTTTACAGAATGTCTGCAACATTTGAATTTTATTTCTTCCCTACCTAAGGCTTCTTCTTTTGGTAACCCGACTTTAGATTTTGTTTCTTATCTTCTCCTTCATCCTATTGCATGTGTGGCAATTAGTTTACATCTTTTTCCATCATGGCTTATAGGTAATTTTATTTTGTTAAATTATGTGTTTCATTAATTTATACCAAAGTTTTCAAATTTTATGTATAACAATTATTTCATTTTATATGTTATTGGACATGTTATTGAAAGGGATGCTTTGAGAAAATTAACCAAAAATGGGCGGAGCCACAAGCTATTGGAAGTCGACCTTCAAGACTTATTGTTTGTATGCGATATTTAATTTATTGTTTATATTTATTTTTGTTTCTTAATTTTCCAATTGTTAATTCCAATGGCAAAACAACCTTAAAATGAGGCAGTGGAGAAGGGCTTAGTTCCGATGCAAGATGTATAGATGGCCTTTTACGATGGTATGTTGTCGATAGTTTAGTTTTGATTATGTTAACTTAGTTATTAAATCTAATTACTTTTAAGCTCAACATGGAAGACATAATTGATGATTTTTTTCCTGGTTCAAATTTTCAATCTACTGGTATTAGCTGATTCAATTCATTTGGAAAATTATTCAATAGTAAAGTTATGTCCTTTTTTTTTTGTGTAGTATACTTAATAATGTTCCAGTATAATAGAATTTTGATCATACGATACATCAAACGTTTGTTTATATTCTTACAACATCAAAAGAATGCAATTTGTTGTCCCGTGCATCGCATGGGTACAATTACTAGTAAATTGTGAAAAGATATGTATTATATAAATAAATTAATTAAAAAATCGACTTCTTCTTCCCTGCCAAGCTTCCTCCACCGCCATTAAAAAATCAAGTTCTACTTCACCAGTTGCCCAAGCCTCCTCCGCCGCCATCTGCTTGCAGCAATTCTCTTTAACATCCTTCCCCTCCCGCTCAAATCTCTTCTCCAAGTTGTCGTCCGGCGACCTCCACTTCGACGAAGAGAAAAACCCACCGCTGACTCTCTCAAAATCGAGGATGAGCTCCAGCGGCCTTGTGCCGGCGGTTTTCTTCGGGAGCAAACTCGTCGGATCAACGTCCCTCCACCTTGGGGGTTGGAAAAAATCCCCCTTTTTTTTAATTGGGCGGAGATTTTGACGGAGATGGGTAGAATCTCGAGTGGGTTTGAGATTTGTATGATGATAAAAGATAGCCGCGGAGACGGCAGTGTGATGAGGTGTGTATACTTGGGCAGAGAGCAGTGTGTGTATTTGTGTGTTATTCAATTGGAGAGAGGGCTTAATTGAAAATTCAGGGGACTGAATTGAGAATTTCAAAAAGTTTGTTTCAGTCATAAATTTCCGGAGGTCGAAAATATTTTTCTGGAGGGCTTTTTCGTCTTTTCGTTAGTGGTCAACGGATGAAAACAAAAAGGGCTGAGTGTGCTTGCTTAAACACATTATAAGGGGGTATTGGTCACTTTTTCTTTCCTAGGGGGTTTTTTGGCCTTTAGGAAAATCACAGGGTGTTTTTTGCATTTAACTCTATTAATATATGATTAATAGGAGTTTTATTATTATAGAGTTGTAGTTGGATAGTAATTCGACTATATTCTATATTTGGGCCTATTTTTTTTGTAGGATTAGGCCCAATTGAACACGCCCTAATACTTCTTATAAAAAACACGTGTGGTGTTTGCAAAAGCTTATAGAAATAGATTATGAGTTTTTTTCTGCGTATAATCTGTTTTTAGGTGTTTGCAAAATAAACTTTTGCTTTTGTTTTTCTTAAATTAAGCTACTTTAAGCTATAATTTTAAAAGCCGTCATTTAACTTTTTTTTCTATTTTAGTTGATTTTTCAACTAATTTGCAAATACCCCCACTTTTTTGAAATAAACACTACAATTTCAACTTAAATCACAATCACTAACTTCTGC